CAGGAACTATTTGACCGATTTTCTTCGAAATTTGGATTTTTATCATTAAAAATTACTTAGATTAAATTGAAATTTTGTAATTTAAAATTTTTCCAGATTAAATTTTGTATACCTTACAATTTATTTTTGTCGACAATTTGTAAATTAAATGTTAGAAAATAATAAACTATCACAATTTTTTTTTTCACATGGATAATTATTTTTTTTAAAAAAATCTTTAGATAAACAAAATTTATAATCTCTGGATTCGCTCATTAAAAAATCGTCCTTATTAGTTTCATTAGCTCTAGAGTTATTAATTCAAATAGTCCAGGCTTTTGATAAGTCTCCGGTATAAGCTTTTGAGCTCCTACTTTTCAAACTACGACTTCTGGCCATATTTTGAAGGAAGACCGTCGAAATACAATTATGTTTTTACAAAGAAAGTACATTTTTGTGTCTAATTTCATAACTGAAAATATTGTAAGGACGAATTAATTAGTATATACGTATTAGGTTGTAATTTTTGAGCCGTAAAAGTTAAGTCCTAGTACGTGAAGATCCGATCATTAGATCAAAAGTTATTTGTGCACTGTAAAGTATTTATTACTATTGTATTTTTAATCAAATCATTGTATTTTTTATCGAACCAAATATGAATTCTGGTTAACTGGTTATAAAAAAATATTTATGTGAATATAAAATCGATATAATGGCTGCAGAATTCAAGCACCGTCTTAGAATTAATTGCAAAGATAATGTGTGAAGAAATATATTTTAACGTGTATAAGTGTATGCCAAGGTAGTAAAATTTATTTATTTTTTTATTTTGGAAAATATTGCAGTTTTTTATATTTTGCTCGTTAGGAAAGCCAAAAAAAAAAAAAAAAAGAAANAAACCAAAAAAAAAAAAAAAAGGATTAAAAAAAGTATTGCATTAAATGGATGAAACAACGTATCGAGGTAATATTTAATGTATAACATGTAGGATACTTTTGATGTTTTGAAAATGAAATAGTTTCTTTCATGCTTGCCCCGGGAATATGCTAACCAACTTCACTCAGATGTAATAACAGTATTTTATTCACTTTTCATGAAATTGTACTAATTTTCCTTCCAAAATTGATTTGGGTGATAAAGCTCATAATCTTTAACCGGTGAGGGCATATGCCGATATGCCCCTCCATCTAAATTAAAAAATAGGCACACTATTAAATAAAACGTTTGTTGTTGGAAAGTCCTAAAGAAGGAGTAAAATAAAAATAGAATTAGTTACATCAACTCCGTAGAATAGCGCGAACTGAACTCTCATTAGTCTGCCTCTTATAGATATCGTCAACAGATGGCAGCAGTATCGACCAAAAAAATTCTTTTGTTTATGGAATCGAATGCAGTTTTCTCAATTCAATTTTTTTATCGAGCGTAACTTATTCGTTTTCAGTTCATTCATTTATATCATCAGTCTGAACTAATGAATAAAAAGCTGTCTGCGTAACGGAGGTCATGACTTTATCGCTATAACCGTAACTGATTGAAATCATTGTGAACTTCCAGTCATGTGTAGCATCGGCATGTTTTCTTTTTCTAATTGGCAATTATAATTAAATAAAATATGGAGGGATTATATGTATTTCTAGTGTTAAAACATTTTATAAATTTAAACCGCATATTTCGTTTCAAAAACAGTTAAGCTTACTTTAGTTTATTTGGTTAAAATATAATAATTAGTTCAGAGTTTTCTGAGGAGGACCTCCTCATCAGTTTTTGGGAAGCATGGAATTTAATTCTCCTCATAAATTCTCAAAATAATATATTCAGTGCCACTAGTACAGCAATATTCTTTTATTTCGATGGAAAATTGGTAAAAGAAGTGATAAAACATTTCCAAATCAATAACTCTTTGAAAAAGTAAGTGGTTACATTAAAATCACACTGAATAATTTTTGTTCTAATGATTGGACACTCCTGTGATGGGTTAATTTCAATCAAGCTAATTAATATGTACTAACTACTAATAAAACTAAGGAATCGTACACAAAAGAGGCTGTAAGAAGATATGAGATTGCTATAGGGTCTGGGAACATTTAGATATTTTAAAAAATCCACTCAAGATAAAATTTAATTGAAAATTACATACTAGTGTATTTTCAATATATTTAAATTCAGTTTGTGTGTGTATATTTTTTTAATTAAATAATCAAGGAAATCCTTATTCTTTAAATTAGTTTTTCTAGCCAAAAATATGTTGGCATTTTTTCATATAAGTAAATTAAAAAATGTATCCTAAATCCTAGTTTTCTTTTAACACGTTGTGTTTAAAAAAAACAACGTTTTTTTAACACGTAATTTGTTGTGTTTGAATCCTTCTCTTCTCCTTAAAATGGTGGTAAGTTTTTTGAAATTTTTTAAGAACGAGAGGAAATTGCTTTTATCGTTTCTATGAGTAATTCCTAATTAACTCGGGTTTGATGAAGGGCAATTAATTTATTATTATTTTGAGAAAACTCAGGCGTAACAGAAATTGTGAATATTATTTATTTTTATCTCTGAGTTTGTTGTCTGATACGGAACTATTGGAACTAGCTTGAAATTGTTCTGACGAAGCTGTTGGAAACAAAACTGAAAAGTTCAATTGGTTTTCACCTTAAGAGTAGAGTGAGAACATATTTTTCCTTTTCCTATTGTTATAAATAACGATTTTGTGTAGAGTTCAAATGTTTTAAAAACAAACTTTTCATTGTAATACAAAATATTTTCAAACTCTGCACCGGCGGTATCTTTTGTCACTTTTCATCAAAATAAAAAATCATATAAAATATACTTTACAAATTGAGAATTTGATTGGCGCATTTAAAAGAGAAAGATCAAACCACATTCAGTAGGAATGTTCCCTAAGTTTGCAAAAATCGCGAATCGTATTTTATTGTTGTTGTATTTATTATTATTTAAAATATGTCGTATTTTATTATTATTTAAAATTAACTTTTTATTTTAATTTAATTTCCTGGAAGAAATATTTAAAATTCTGACTGTCGTGAAAATTATGAATTAAGTCAATCAACAGTTAAAAAAAATAACAACAAATAACCATTAAAACGATAAACTTCTCAAAAGTTGAAGAAATTGAAGCGGACTCCAAAAGCTCTGAGTCATGGAACAGACCTTCTCTGTAACTCGGAAAAAGTAATAGTTCTCTTTTAATTGGCAATTTGCCAATTTTTGCTTAAGAACTTTTGTGTTCTTGTGTAAAAGAAAAAGAAACTTACAATTCAACATTTTTGTATAGCTGAGGAAGTTTTAAATTTTGTCAAACATCACATTCATTTGCAACTATGACTGTGAATAGTACATTTTTAATAGAGAAATATATTTTAACTTTATGTTGCGTAAAAGAGAGTGGATGCTTAAAAAAGAAGGATAGCTTTAGGAACAACTGATCTTGCATTTCCAAAGGTTTTTTTTCTCATTTTGGGGAAGCAAATAGTCTAGACTGTGCACACGGCTTCATAATAAAGGATTAAAATCTATATATGGGTAGTGTATATAGATTTTAATAACTTATCATCATAAAGGATTAAAATCTATATACACTACCCAGATACCCAAATGGTTTAGATTTGGAGAGTTTTGACGTGGGGGGCGTGCCTTTCTTGGTTTGGCCTGAGTTGCGAAGTTCCTATGGTTGAAAATATATACCCTATCTTGATCTTGTTTGTCTCCTGAGATGTATGTGGACATCGTCAGTTGCTCAGTTCCTATGGTTGAAAACATGTACTCTGAGATATATGTGGACATCCTCAATTGCTCAGTTCCAATGGTTGAAAACATGTACTCTGAGATGTATGTGGACATTCTGAAACATAAACTCAGAAATGGGCAATATTTTGGGGAAGGCCCATATGCCTCTTCCAGCAAAATAACTTCTCCATTCACGCATCGAGATTTGTGCAACCGTATTTTAATAAGCGTGTAAGTGTTTATAAACTAGACTGGCCTAAATTCCACCACCTTTGGGACAAATTCGAATGCAAATTACGTAGAGAGCCCAATCGACCATTCTCACTACCAGCTCTCACTTTAGCTGTGATGGACACCTAGTTGTCATTTTCTGTGGTCATCTATCAAAAGTGAGTGAAAAGTCTCTCCGTATGTGTGTAGACTGTCATCGATGCAAAAGGGAAGCAAACATCATAAAAATCTATGTTAAAATATGTTTCAGTGCTTTCTCAGTCCAAATACTTTTGGTCAAATACCTTTAGTCAAATAGTGTTTCTATCTTTTATTTTTAACAGAATTAAAAAATACATTTATTACTATTTTTGAAGAGTTTTTTTTTTGTTGTTGTTGAAAAAGGCAGACTTTGGACTTGAAAAGAAATGAAAATATTAATTTCAAAAAAATGGCGAAGTTGAGGCGTCGGGTGCCATTTTTTAAAATGTAACTCTCAATTCTGTATCAAACTTGAACATAAAAGTTTATTTAATGTCTATATTAGAGTTGAACAGTATACGGATGCGCATCGCGAAACATCACTAATTTTTCTTAAGTATCGCAACAATATTTTTAAAAAAAGTATGCGTATGATATTATAAATACCATGTTATATAATACTTATCAACAAAGACAATATTGCGATTATTATCACCAGCAATAATGTCCTGAGAATTAACGACAACGATAAATGTCAAATGTAATAACATTGTCTTTAACAATAAATATTAAATACTAAAATATCGCAAGCATTATCGATATCGATATTGAGTATCAATATTGAATATTGGAAGGGTTGATAAAATTTCACTTGAAAATTGACCAATAATAATGTTAATCAGTTAAATTGGAGGAATATTGCGATTTATTGTAAAATATCGATTTTTTTTTCGACGATATTTCAAGATATTAGAACTTCGATATAACTTGGTCCAAATCCTTTTTCGCTTAGTGAAAATGAGTCTTATATATTCGTTTAATGTTCATATTCGTTTAATGTTCATTTACATGAAAAAGAATACAATATACAATACATTTCGTTCTTTTATTTACAGATAATTACATGACGAAACAAATCTTTGGGAAGTAGTACAACTTTATAAATTCGTGGACGGAATTCTGATAGGCCTTGCATAGCATATTGGTTATGCACAAACTTAATGCTTGTTCTATTACAATGGTATAACATTTTTATACACATGAAGGCAAATTTTGAGGCTTAACATGTTAAAATATAATGTATAAATTTATATAAAGTGCTTTCAGTTTACAAAGAATATACGGTATACAATGTGAGACGTACAATTATTTACATATATTACAAATCAATTTTTAGAAAAGTAGATTATTTAAATGTGTGGACGGATTTCTGACAGGCTTTGCATATCATTGGCTATGCACAAATTTACAATTACGACTGCTATTACAAAGGCTAAACGTGATAACCTTTTAGCAAATTAAGATAACCTCAGGATGTTAAGAGTGATATAATGATATGCGCTTATAGACAAAAAATAGTTCTTTAGGTAATATATGCATTTGTTTATTTACAAGTTACTGCTTCACAATATTCAATCTTTAGAAAATACAAAATCTGGAAGGATTTCTCATAGACTTTGCTTTACATTGATTGGTAATGCACAAACATGTAATGCATTAACATTATTTTTACACATATATCTATGGACGGATTTATGATAGGCTTTGCGTGACATTTGGACAAATTTACAGTTGCTTGTCCTATTAGAATGCCTTAACATTATTTGTACACGTATCTTTTCAAAATGGTCTTAAGATATTAAATGTGTTCTAAAGCAATGTGCTATTTTTAGAAAGAAAGAAAAATTGAACTTTATCTAATATATGCATGATTTTTATTTACAAGCTTTTAATAAAAGATATCTATTTATAACAAACAATTAATAAGATTAAATGTAACAATATTTAATCTTTGGAAAAAAAATAGATTTTTATATTCTTGGACGGATTTCTGATAGGCAACATGACTTGACATGATCATGCAAAAACATATAATACTTTTCTAATACAAACATTAATTAAAATTTTTCATTCATACAGTGAGTAAATCAACTTATTGTACAAAACTGCGATGATTATATTACAGAGATTAACATTCTTATATACATAATGTTTTCACGAAATTTTCCTGACAGTTTAAAACAAGACGTATTCAAAATTACGACAGCAAATCAAAAATAAAAAACAATTATAAACTTTATGAAATTCCAAATTAATCTTTTTATATTCGCTGTAAAGTATTAACATATAGCGAGAAAGTATTTTTAGAAAAATAAATTAAGTAAATAATAATTTATTAATGAAATGTAGACATTTTATAGAATGTCGAGTCATTTTATAGAATGATATAAAATGATAATGTCAAGTATAAAATATGATAATTATTATATACTGTGCCTTTTTTTCAGTAAAAGGGTTTTTAAATAGATATTCAATTGAAATTAGTAATAGAATTTATGATGCTACTTAATGATCGCGGCATGAGAAATACTTGAGTTTGATGAAATGAACTTAGTGTAAATACATTTTGCACATTTATTAATACAATGCAAATCATTCCTGCTCAAAATGTGTAGCAACAGAATTGTAACAATATTTTACTAAAATATGAAATAGAAAATATACTAATTAAATTCATCGCTTAAAAAGATAAATTTTTTTGCTGGGTATGATGCATTTTTTTTTCTGACCAAGGTTGGCGAAGGTAGAGTTCCCTTAATTCCCGATTAAGTGATAACATGATTTAACGATTTGTAGTGTACAGTGTATTAATAATGTATTTAGAATTTTCCTATTGTTTAAAATGATATTTGACTCATAATATTAAGGTATTTTACTAGCAATTTATTGTATTTAGTTTTTAGTGTAGTATTCTTGAAATGACGATTCTGGATTTGAGTATTAAAATTAATTTTCCCTAGTCCTTAAAAATTAATTAACTCTTTAGAAATTGTTCGTCTGTTTAAAACATTCCATTTATTTAAAAATTTAAATAAATGGAATAAATGAAACGCAGTAGTTCAGATGTTTGAAAGTTCTTCACAAAAACCTTTTTTGTTGTATTGCCCTTGAATTTATTCATCTATTTAATTATATAATCAATGCTTTCCTTAATAAGAACTATTCTTACAGTTGAATAATTTATGCATCAATATAAAAAAAATAAATAAGGAGAAAATACACAGCGTCGCACACAAATGCGGGCAGCTTTCAAAATCCACAGGTGGTGTTTTTTTTTGGAATCCATGCTGCCAAATCATTTCCCTAAATACGAAATAAATCGACATGCAGCTGAGTTTTACATTCAAAACTAAGATAATGAGGCACTTTCACAACAAAAGTCAAGCACAGGAGAAAAGAAAAAAAGGTATAATCACTTATCAAAATTACATATGCATATTATCACAGCAGTTTATAGAATTTTTTTAACTCAATGTATTTTCACTAACATTTAAATGTTCCATGCCATCATCAGGATAAATCCATCACTGATTTTCTTTGAATTCATCACTGATTAGATAGTGTGTTTTCAGTCAAAACATTGCCAACTGCTTAAGCAATGCCATCACAAGGAAATTGCCCAACTAGTATTGATCGATTGAAACTGCATTGAGTTCAGATGCATAAATAAAGTTACAGTTTAGAATCCATTAGATCTCCTGGAGTGACTATGGCCATTTTTCTATCTTCAATGGCCTTGGCCAACTTCCTTCGTGGGCCCAGGGGGAGTCCGAGGTCTTTCAGATCTTCTTCTGTGAGAAGCATGAGTGCCTCCAGGTCGATTTTTTCTTTGGCCAGAGCTGCTGTGTATTCCATTAAACCATGTGCGACGAGGAAGACAACGAGAGGCGTAGCGTCCAGTCCTGGAAAACAGAATTAATCGATTTTAATAACAATTTGTTATTCAGACAAGTCAATTAAAAGCAAATTAAAATAATAAATCTTAAGCAATAATTGAGCTGTACAGTGCGTTAAAAACTGTCTCTACATCAGATAGTTTACATAGAGATACTTGGGGCATTTTAGATGGAAATACTTGGTTTACATAGTTTAAGATAGTTTAGATAGTTGATTTCAGATAGTTTACATAGAGATACTTGGGCCAGATTCATGACATTTTATTTCTAAAAACATTTAACATTTACTGTACAGTTATATTAGTGAAAGAATATACTGTCTAGAAGTCACGAGATGAGCTCCCGTCCTTACTGCGAAATCACGTGAGTGGTCATTCTTCTCATTTTCCAGAAAATTCCAAAATATAATAGTCAATTCTTAAAGTTTTCGAAAGACTCAAGAATACAAATAAAAAAACAACCATAATGATCTATAAATATATTTCTCTTAGGTGTCACCATAAACTCGGGTATTTCTCTAACTATTTACAACACAGTAGTTATAATTCAATTTGTTAAGTTTGCCTTACTTAGCGTTAAAAAATTATTTATATATTAAGTATTTATTTAGATTTATTTTGTTAGAATGTCTTAAGTAATAATTTAAGTAATGTTGAACAATTAGTTATACGTTAAGTACTTATTTTGAATAATTTTGTATTTCTAGAGAAATAAAATCTTAGTTACGAAGATTTAGATTATTTAGATTTATTTTTGATCTATTTTAATATGGCTCTTGAAATTTGAAACAATAAACGGTGCCATGGAGCCGCGAAGGATAAAGTCTATAACGGTTTTTTATCCATGTATGTAGGCTCTGACTTCTAAACAGTTACCCTAAGAAAGAAAGAAAACCAATAAAATGGTTTACTTTTAGTTTACGTTTGTATGTTAAGCTCTACAAATATTACCTATTTGAATATTTTTTTAAGGATTTTACAGTTCAAATACTTCTTTTTTATTAACTTCTTTATCTATTATATATTTTGTTGCTTAAATTTTCCAACTGTTATTATTATTAATAACTATTATTAGTTTTTTTCATAGATGATAGCACTGAAATGTAAATTGCATTATATATTTTTCCCCAATTACTTTATACGATATACAGGGTGTCTCAGTTAAGCGTTTCAGAATTTCTAAGAGTGGTAGGGGGCATTCTGACGAGTCGAAATCATATAGCAATGTGGGGTCGGAAATGCTTTCCTGAAGCGGTGACGTACACAGAAGCACCATAAAGAAAAGAGACCGTAAGTGAAAAATCGCTATAATAATACATTGAAAAAATTATATGGCCTCCTCGGTCACCCGACCTATCAAGTCTTGATTTCTGGAGTCATATGAAAACACTGGTTTATGACACTCCTGTTGATAATGCTGGTTGCAAGAATCGCAGTAGCTGCCTGCGAGATATGCCTGGAGTATTGCAGAATGTTCGAATGTCCATGCGCTGGAGATGTGAGGTGTACATTGTAGCCGGTGGCAGAAACTTCGAACACTTACTTTGGCCCATGTACCATATAATTTTTTCAATGTATTATTATAGCGATTTTTCACTTACGGTCTCTTTTCCTTATGGTGCTTCTGTGTACGTCACCGCTTCAGGAAAGCATTTCCGACCCCACATTGCTATATGATTTCGACTCGTCAGGATGCCCCCTACCCCTCTTAGAAGTTCTGAAACGCTTAAGTGAGACACCCTGTATAAGCTAAAAGCACATTTATTATATAATTTTTCTTCTTAACAATTTTTGTTAATTGTTAGATTAGTATATATAATTTTAACACATGTTTATTTAATTTTATTTTAAAATGGAAAGTTTGTTTTCTGCTTTTTTCTTTCATCTTAAACTCATTTACAATTACATTTTTTAATTTTTTAGAAACATAGACGCATTATAAGAGAGAGATTTTATTCCCCCAATACTTGATCCAGGAGTTTCCTTGTCTTCTGGATTAGGTTCAAAATACAAGGATACGGAGTTGAACATTAGCAGTCGTAACTTGGGTCGGGAATTTAACGACGGTTATAAAAAAAAAGTTCGAACTGCAGAAAGCCATTTTAACAAGCTATTTTGAGCACTACAGGTTTTCCGAAAAGGCAAAGAGCGAATAAAATATCGATTTAAAAAATAAAAAAAAGGAGTTGAGGGCTGTCTGGATGTTTCCTTAATGTACGAGTTAAATATCAGTTTTTAAGCAATTGTATGAAAACAGCAACGGAATTAATGTAACAAATAGAACAAAAAACCTAAGTAGCTTATAAAAATGATACTTAAACAGATGTTCGGAAAGTTCTATTTGCAACTCCATGCAGCAGCTGTTACTAAGTAGGTTTGCATGTTTTTTTCGCCCACAAACGATCCTACTTAATAACCATAAAACCTTAACCGGATAAACAATCATTGATTAACTTCAGCGTCTGATTGGAATTTTAAGAGTCACCGATACCCCCACCATTAGAAGAATGGATTTACGGTCACTCTACCGTAAAAATATTTTATTAACTTTTTTTCTTCTCATTTTTCCAAGTGCCACAAACGTAGCATTGAACCATATTCGTGCAAAAGGTTGAGTCACGACCAGAGACAGAATGTCACATAATCAGGTAACGCGGGCGGTTCTATTTTCATTCTGGGACCGAAAAAAAGCGCCATTTCGAACACCCAAATCACGCAAGACACGAAAGAACGCACAAAGCACCCACGGAGCAAACGATAAAATGCTTGTTGACTTCTGAAGGACCCTTCTTTTTTTGATTTGTACTTATTGTCGTCTGTTAAAAATGAGAATAGCAAAAGATTTTTTTTTAGTTGCATAATTGGATATGATATCAGGGGTAAAATCAGTCGATATTGGAAACTAAAATAAAACAAAGCTATTTTTTCTTTTTCAATTACGTTTCTATTTGTTTCAAACAATAATATGTCGTGAGAATTCTATTATTCCATCTAGTTAGTTTCTTTTTTTTTCATTCTCAATAAGATCTTTTGTTACAGTACAAGCATTTTTCAGACATTTTAATAATAATCTCAATGTTTTCCATTAAATCATATAATTTTTTAATCAAATTTAAAAAAAAAAAACTGGATTTCCTGTAAGTTTTACATTTTTGTCATATTTATTTATAAATCTAAAATGCATAATTTTATATTATTTTCGAATTCATACAATATCACAATAAAAAAACATGCTTCTTAAATTATTTAAATTTAAAAAAATTTTAAATAATTTGTGGACAAAATAAATTATTTTGAATTCTAAATGAGCGAAAATTTGTAATTATTTTGATTTTTTTAATGTAAATCACTTAATAACAATCAATGAATAATATATATCTTTACATTTAACGATTACAGAATTTTTTTAAAATAAAAATATGGTTTTATTTTCTAATTTTGATGAAGAATTTACCAATAAATTGCAACAAAATTTAACAGTCAAGTCGAAATGTTAACAAATATATCAATTTTAGAAAAAAAGGATCTGGATAAAATGAAAGTCAATAAAGTGGTTTTGAAAATTTCTACTGTATGCACAATGAGTTAAGCAAAAGGATTCATTCAAATTATTTGACCTAACAAAATCATTTACAGTAATAATATCAGTGATTCAAATTAATTGATATAAATTTTGCATCATTCAAAATAAAAAAAGTTTTCAAAATTGATCAAAGTATTTTATTTGAATCTAGGAATTATTATTAACTGAATCTGATTTTAATCAAGTGATTGGATTATTCCGAAAACACTGATTCCAATTTACTAAATTGTATCCGCAAACTGTACCACTTATTCAAATTGAGACATTATGTTCATTGCCAAATGACTAAATAGCGAATCAAGTTTTTCGAATTAAAAAATTCTAAAATATGAATCAATATAAAAATCAGCTTCTAATCAACTGATTCAAATTAACAGATTAGAATAGTTTCAATATATGTATATGAATCAAAGGGCTTACGGATTAACATAGGCGTAGCGAGAGGGGGTACACTTTTCGTTTTTAGAAAACTTTTCGTCTATTTTAAGTTTTATACATACTTTATGTAAATATATAAATATGCATACGTATAAAAAATGACTATGCATATATACACAAAATTTAAAATAAACATACAGTTTTCTAAAAAAAAGTGTGCATCTTCTTTTGTTACGCCTAATCGGATTCGAAGTGATTTGAGTCATTGTCAAACTAAATCAACACATTTTGTTGAATCAATGAAATCCACTAATTCCTATCACTTAATAGGAATTACTGACTCTAAGACATGTTATAAAGATTGATACTGATTATTTTAAAATAATTTAATGAATTAAAACGATTGTTCAAATAACTGAGTAATTCGTTCCAATGATTTAAAAGTAAATTAAAATAGCTCAATCATTGAAATGTAAAAAAAAAATAATAATCGGAGATTACTTTACCTTCTTCATCATCAAAATGTCCTTCATCATCTTCCCAAGGAGGATGATTATTTCTTTGAGCCAGACTACCAGCACTTCCTATACTGTCTTCGACTGAGCCATTTTGCACGTCAGAGTCTTTCTCACTGGCTCTCATCGAATCAATATCATCATCACTTTCATCGTCATTTTCTTCGGTGGACGTGGAAGGCAGAGACATCAATGTACCAGACATAGAGTTCCTGAATGCCACAGAACCAAATCCTGGTCTTTCGAAGATACTGCCAGCAGTCTCCAATGGTGAAACATCGTCACCGAAACCAGAATCTGTCGTGTGGAGGAAGTCGGGTTCGCTTATTGCCCTGGACAATTCGCTCTTGGTGTCAAACACATCTTTCATGTGTCTCCTGTGGTTGTTACCACCCGAAGTTGTACTCTGAGTGTCGTATTTAGGTACATACAGTACTTCCGAATCTCTTAGAAGTCCAGATAGAGATCGGATTGATCTTTTGCCGTTTAGTTCTGTTTCCCTCACTTTGAAGTCGGCCGCTGTCATCACCACGTGCTGCTTCTTTTGCTGAATCCTTTTGGACACAGCACCAAGACCCTTCTTCGTCGTACCCGCACCATTGCTGATGATGTCTGAATACTTTGGCGATGCGTACGTTATTTTGCAATCACGCTTCAAAGTCGCCAAGGTGAGACTGGAAGCCTTGCTGATGATGCCATTTAGCTGGAACTCCGAACCATATAGTTTTCGCCTTTGCTTTTCGATTTCTTTCTCTTCCTTTTCGGCTCTTTTGGCGGCTTTCCTCTGAAGCTTTTGATACTGTTTTATTCGTTTTTCGGTGTCGATCACAGATTTCTCCTTCAGCTTCTGAACTAGTTTTTTGTTAAGGGCACTCTGTCTGGCAACGACGTCGTCCAAATATCGAATGATTTCGTCCCTTTGGTTCATGGCAGCGACATTGGACGCCGTGTGAAAATCATTGTCCAGTGCCCAGAGAGAAACACCAAAGTTGACGAGGAACGACACACAGTTCATGTGACCGTTTGCTGCTGCCCAGTGTAGAGCTGTATTTCCAAAATGGTCGCAGCGGTCAGGATCTCCTCTGGAAGAAAAATAAAAAATATAAGTATTTTCTTATGATTAGAAAATAATAAAAGTTGTTTAGAAATATTAAAGGCTATTTTCCACAATATAAGAAATAAATAAAATATTATCATGTAATTAGCAAACGTCATTAATACATTTAAATAGGAATTTCATAAAATCATTGCATTTTAAGGTATGTGTCTTAGGAAGGTAAAAAATTATCACATTAAACGCGATGTGAGACGTATAACGTTCTCAAAAGACGTTTTAAGTCTCACATCAACGTTCTCAATAGACGCTAATAGACGTAAGGTATGTGTCTTAGGAAGGTAAAAAGTTATCACATTAAAAGCGATATGAGACGTATAACGTTCTCAAAAGACGTTTTAAGTCTCACATCAACGTTATCAATAGACGTTTTAAGTCTCACATCGCTTGTTGGCTCGTACAGAGTGTCAAACGCACCTATTCAGGGAAAGAAGACAAAGAATCAGGATAAAGTGAATACATAAAAATAAAATTAACCTTATTTGACTGTTTATTTCTGTTGTTTCATATTTCAACTGATTTTTTCTTCTCCCAAATAAATATTTTTACTGATTCTTATACTACTATATTAATGTACTTAATATAAGAATACACTTACGTAATGTAGGTACTGTGGTAATTGATTTTATATAGCCCTCACAGACACAGAGTTGCACTATAGTTTCTTTCATGCTACCTTATCTTTGTCATTATCACGAAAATCATAGCTCTACTGATTTGAGGTCTAATATTGTATTACTACAGAAATACGAAAAAAGAACTTTTATTAAATGTTGTTCTCCTTAAAATACTGCCTTCTAAGACTCTCCTTTATTTTCTTCTGATTCATTAAGTGTAAAATAAACTAATTTTAATGACATATTCTTCACCATGGTAAAGAATTACAACAAAGGCAGAAAAGTACTTTTGTTTACAGGAAAATAGTGTAAACACGACTTATACCTGGAACAATCTTTTTTGAAAAGGGATATTAGAACAACAAAAAACGTTTAATTTCAAGTCCATCGCTGACAGGACAGGAGAAGTTTCAAACAAAGGATTTTGTTTTATGAAATGCATGAATGCTTGATGAAATTTCTGTTTGTCGTTTAAAATCTTCCTCCAAGACAATTTTTTTTTCTTCTTCTTTTACTTATTTTCTTGGTGTTTCAGTTTAACGGTTTGTCGATTTTGTAATTTGATACAATGTTTACCTATTATCTTTTACTTTCGATGTAATAAAAAAAGTTTAAAAATCGAAAGGTTAACATAAGCGTCAAATTGTTCAATCTCTTTTTTATAACTATGCACATTATTTTGGGTTATTGTTATAAACAGGGCAGGATAAAAATGGGTGCTACCAAAGCTGTAGCCCCCAACTGTTTTCATATGAGACCTCTAAATAATCTTCTCGGAATAACTCTTTTATACAGACCCCAAAGGAAAATAAAAATAATGAATTTATGAAAGAAAAAAATAATTTTAGAAAAAATTCATTAGATATTTTCGAGCATAATAGACATAGAATAGATGTAGAGTAATGCATACAGAATAATGACATAGACAACTTATTCGTATTTTAATGCTAAACGAAAATTTTTTTTTCAAATTAAAAGCATTAAAAAATATTTCTTCTTTCATTTCTGTAAAAATTTAATTTTATAAAAAGTTTAATTGTTTAACGAATATTAGGAAATTTTGACTAATTTAATAGGGGTGTGACCTTAAATTACACATGAGCCCCAGGTCCAATCTCACCTTCCTCCTACCCTGATTCTAATTATTTACAATTTAAGGCTTAAATGGTTTTATATTTATATTACCTTTTTTCAAAGAAAAGAATTTTTTACAGCAAAAATTTTACTCAAATTTTTTTTTTATTATTCTATGATTTGAAGTAGAAACGAGTCAATATTTAGAATATGTGTTTTAATATTGTGTATTGTCATCTGATAGATCAACGAACATCATTACTCATTAGTTAAAAGAGATATCATTTATTAAAAACATCACAATACATACTATAGAAGATAATTTAAAGTTTTCAAAATTGACGTGAATGTAAAATTAATATAACTTTAAAAATATTTAGTAAATTGATGTAATTTTAAAAATTATGATAAGAAAAAAAAGTAACACTTCTGTAGTTTTTAATTATCATCATCACAGGCCAAACTACATGCCAATGAAACATCATATAAATATTATGATGCGAAATAGGCGAATTATAATTCTATTTAAAACTTCCATCTTAAAAAACAACACAAACAGCAGAATTCGAAAAATAAATGGCAAAACAAAGCAAAAAACTAAACATCACTAAATTTAACATTACAGAGTATGCAAATTATAATTTTATTCCAATCCATGCGTTAAGATATATTAGACTGCTAAAAAAAGGGGTTTAAATAGGCAGGACACGTAATAAAGATCTTGTCATCTGATAGGTCGACTACCATCAAGCTATCTTTTACCTCAGAGATGAAAACCAAAACTTAGGTGAATTGACTGTGTGGAAAAAAAAGCCTTAAACCTATTAGAATAACAAACTGGTAAACCTTAGAAAAGAACAGAACAGCATACATAAAAATTTTGACGAAGGCTCAACCGTAGTAGACGAGCCAGTTGAAAATAATATGTTTAAATTGCACATTACCAAATTTCAAAATTGTAGACTGTTTGTGAAATAAAATAGAAACTGCGTATTCAAAAATATCTCAATGCAATATGGCGAAATGAATACGTGGCAAATATGACAAAAAATTAACTTTAAAAAAAATTATTACGTATTTATAATATGTCTAAAATATTTTTCTGTAAACTAATGCGTTTAATAAAAAAAAAATTGGTAAACCGGATGGATATCAGAGTTGAAAAAAATTATAAAATCTCTCAATTTTCGCCTAATGAATATAATATATTTTATTGTATAATATATATTTGCAAAATATATTTTATTGCCTTTTACTGGAATTAAATAATGAAATTTTCGATTGTCCAAAATCACTCTTCAAATTTGTTTTAAAACAATAGATTACGTATGATCTTTAAACATTGCAGAACTTCACACTAAATAGAAGCGCACCTACATAGTTTCTCCATATAGCCTCATCTTTTTGTTTTTCAGCGAGCATTGTTTGTTTTTTGTAATGACGCAAGAATGACGAACATTATTTCAGAACTTAAAAGCATTATTTTCACAAAAAAATTCTGAGATGAAACTGAGCTATAAGCTGGAAGGACCAAATGGGGAATCTGTGTTAAAGAAGTACTCATTCTGAAAAGTTATGACAATGTCACGCTGTATGGTCATCCAGGATGACAAAGGGTTGCGAATTCACACTGACAAGACAAAGGGACAACTCCCACATTTAAGAACTAAAAAAATGGACACATATCAGTTTAACTGTCCTTCGAAAAAGAAATTAAAGATTTGTTTTATAATGATAGTAATGTTTTTTTTTTCCAGTTTCGTTACCAACAGCCATTTTATAAAATCATTTCTTCGTAAAAGGTTATGAATTTTGAAATAACTTTTATTAATATTTACTTCCTATTTATTGTGTTTTTTTTTTATTTGTACCGTAATGGTTGTTACATTTAGAAAAAAAACCAGTTACAGCTTTGAAATTCTATAACTCTACTGCTATAGAATAAAATTAAGAGTCGCCTCCGGCAACAAGGCGGCTAATTATAACAAATGGCGATTAAAAAACTAACTATCTGCTGCCACCCGATGGCTACTTTTTTCGTCGAAAATACACCCATGTGCATTTTATAAATATTTATTTAAAAAAACTAAATATGGAATTATTAAGTAAATTTTATAATATTTTGAAAAAATAACTTTTTTGAAAAATTTACTTTTTCTGAAATAAGAAATGCTTCAAAATAAATACTTCACATTTTTAATACTAACACTTTTTTAATCGTTTAAAGTTTTTAATTTTCGAAAAATGCCCATGTGGTTTTAAAGTGTCTGCTTTGAAAAATAATACAACATGTCACTGGTCAGAAGTAAAATTTACTAATTTTGCCCTATATCTACAACTAAAAGTACACGGCAACTATCGGTAAGTGTTAGAATGAGACAACTTTTAATATAATAAATAATACTAGTTTAAAACTTCCATCTTTTTCAAAACTTTACTTTTACTGTTACGTGTTTATTTTTGCTCCCTGTCCTTGTTGTTTTAGATTTCCTTAGCTTTAATACTAAATCCACGATATTATTATTTACTAATATAGTCCCCAAACAATAAATATTAGGAAGTATTATATGTATCTGAAAAAGAATAATCATTAAGGACTACATACTTCTAAATAATAATCATCAATAAGAACGATATGCTCCAAAATCATAATCATTAACAAAACATCATTTCTTTTTCAAAATTGTTGATGCAAAAAAACTAATTTTAGTATTATGAGCTGGAAATTACCATATATTAATATGACTTCTAAGTAATAATCATTAACAAAGACAGCATATTCCTAAATAATAATCATTAATAACAACTGCATACTCCTAATTAATATTCATTATCGAAACTTTTTTTTCAAAATAGTTGCCTTAAAATTGTCTAATCTTAATATATATATACTACGATATCAATACTTATAATAAAGAAGGAAACAAAGAAAAATAAACGATGATAAGGGCCTATTTTTTAATTTGCTTGGAAAAATGAATTTAGATGTGTTCGAGAATTTAGATGCGTTTAAAAATTATAAATTTGAGAATAACGGGTGAACACCGTAGGATTACTTATTAGGCTGTGGAATATAAATAATATCCATCTAAGTATAATTCACATTTTGTCTTGAGATGATGAGGGTTAATTTTGAATTTGTTTTAGATTTTAATGTCTATAATACAAAACGAAATTTTAATTAGAAGAATTATTTTTGTATAGAAAGAATATTTAATATCCATTAATAATCTAATGAAAACTTTTCATTACAATCGAATTATATATTTTACCGATT